CCAATCTACACATATGCTTCAGCTGAGATTCGAACTCAGAACTCCTCTTGAAGTCTCTCATGTAAAAACAGACTAAGAGATGTTTTTCGAATTAAACTACAAAAGCTACAATCAATTGGTAACCAGGATGATAAAAATTAAAATGCCCATAGTATTTGGAATGTTTCTGAAATGAACAATGAATTCAAATTACTTTTTTCTTAAAAATCTTACATTCATAGTTATGATAACATCTATGTGGAGATCAAAAATGTTAATATAATTTTATCATACATAAGTACATGTATTATCATTGGATTTTAGCCTTGTTTCCAAAGTCCAAAAAAATCCATATCAAATTTATACTGTAGTCTATTTAACCTAGTTTTAGTCCAAAAAGTCAATAAACATATTGTACTTGAACTAAAAATGTTAAAACATTGGTGGTTTAAAATAAGGATGCCATTATATATCATATTAAATACTGCATGTTAGTAACGTCGCTTTTCATTGGATAATCGAGACGTTTATATAGTTTTATATACACAGCTGCTGTCAATTCATGAAGATATCGCGCTTTAATCCTCTCAAAATGATGATTGCTGTATTATAAATTTGTTACAAATATTTTTTTGACAGGTTATATGGCCGTATATAATCGGTTGTTGGCAATATAACACTCACCTAGCAGCTTGGGTTATATTTACAAGCTTTTATATTATATGTTATTTTGGTTTTGGAGTGATATATGTGGATATATTACCTGTTAAGATTTTATATCACCCGAGCCGTTAGGCGAGGGTGATATTTTATCTTGGCAGGTAATATATCCAAAACCAAAATAATAATTTTATTACCCTTCCCGTGCCGAGTTAAGACGATTTTAAAATAAATAATTGCTACTTCAAATGATACGTCGAAATAAGATTCCCTTTAGGATACCCCTTCACCATAACATGACGTCACAAATACATGACGTATTATCTTTCGAACATAACGGATGTAAACAAGAGAAAAGGAGTAGTCTGTTGAACGCACTTTTTTGGAATTAATATCAAGCTTTCACAAGGTCATATTTGTTTCCTATACTGACGAGAATATGTATCATTACTCTATTTTGGTAAATATTTATCACTTGACAATTTAAAATTGCTTGTAAATTGGAATTTATATCGCGTAAAATCAAACCGTACGCGCATCGCACGGCGCATGTTGTTTACAACGTGGGGTACCCATCGGGGAAATTTAATGTGTATATTACCCGTCTGGCTCGGTAATATCAATTTCTTTCGGGTGATCAACATCCAATCAAAAAGGCGGAAAAAATCTGGAAGGGTAATAAAGGGCCATATAACTTGTCACTGAATTAAGTATATATTGATTCTATTATCAATAGGACTTCAAAACATTTATTGCACTCATCTGTTTAGGTTTTACAGCTTTATATTCATGCAAGACATTTCAGTATTGTACTAGATAACATAAAACAACTTCATAATTTTTCAAATATGAGAACACAAGCTGTTAAATTCCAGTTTCTAAAAATTGACACAATTCTTATTGAATTCCATATTTTTTTCTAGAATAAATCTGACAATCAATATTATGATAATATAGCAAGAGCTGCAATCGCTTAGCAAGGGCCACACTTGACTTTTTCTTTTTCCTAAAGTCAAACACGTCAGACAAGGAATTATATTGTAGTATATTGTTTCGGAAAGTTTCTTTTTGTAGTAAATCTAAAACGTATAAGCTAAGGGAAGGAAATATTATATCCTATACAAGAGCGAGAGAAATATTTTTGTATCATATTTCTCTTTTAGGGTTAGACAGGTCGAAATTTGGTCTCCATTCATTAAGGTCTGGGGGAGCTACAGCTGCAGCTCTTAAAGGTGTGACAGATAGGCTTATTAAGAAGCATGGTCAGTGGAAGTTTTTTCAAAACAAGGTTATAATATTGTTTAATTATAAATAATTTGTTTGTCATAAGGAACTGAAAGAAAACATAAATTCACTTATTTGATCTTGAGTGTCAACAGCGGCAACGACAACAACATAACTGTAGCAATAGATCTTTTATTCTCAAAAGTCAAGCTAAGGAATAAAATATTAAAAAACATATCAGTTAAAAAAAATTTCAAACATAATAATTTTTGCATTTTAATTGTACCTTGAACTGCTTGCTTACTTTAAAGTAACAAAAGAACCTACACTGTTATTTTTTGCTGTTTATTTGTGATCCACAAGAAGAAAACACAGAGACTGATAATAATTTGATATATGATAATTTTATATACCAACATTCAAATCTTTGTTTAATGTTTAAAAAGAATGTATCTTTGTTTTGTTACACAATTACCAACAACAAATGCACATGCCAAGTATCAATAGGTCAATGTGACTGTGTACTGAAGTTATTGAGAAGAAGCTGAAAATTCTATTGTAAGCAAGTGACCTTGACCTTGCACCTAGATCTAAGCTACCCATACACCATGTTTGGATTCAATAGGCCTAAGCAAACTCCAATTATTGAGCAGGAACTGAATTACTACAGTGACCTTGACCTTGATCACAGACACCTTAGTAGCAAACCCAAGCTGCCTCTTAACAAAAGCTACCAACACACAAAGTTTGGCATCAATAGGTCAAAGCAAACTCAAGTTATTGAGCAGAAACCAAAAGTTGACGCCTGCCTTCAAACATCAGCATTACAATTACCAGTTTTTGTTAAAAACTTGGTTAAAAACATTATATACTTTTCTATTGTTTTGGTTATTTACAGGAATTATTTAATCAAAATGATAGAAGGAGATAATATGGATGGTCAAATAATATTTTATAGGCACATTATAATTTATGCCTGAGAAATAAATTATAGAAAACAGAAAAAATCAGTTTTATAAATTGAGCCGCGTCACGACAAAACCAACATAGTGCGTTTGCGACCAGCATGGATCCAGACCAGCCTGCGCATTCGCGCAGTCTGATCAGGATCAATTCTGTTCGCTATCAGTTTCTCTACTTGTTAAAATGTTTAAAAGCGAACAGTATGGATCCTGATCAGACTGCGCGGATGCGCAGGCTGGTCTGGATCCATGCTGGTTGCAAACCCATTATGTTGGTTTTGTCGTGACACGGCTCAATTATGTTTAAATCATTGTTTTATATCAGATGCTTGTGACCAGAAAAAAGTATCGCTTAAAATTAACATGTGAAATTATTTGTCATAATAGTTGTCGAAATGTAAACAAAGTAATAGTTTGACTCCCATACAAAATACTAAATCACTATACTGTACCAATTAATGAAATAACAACAGAAGAAAAAGATCATGGTTAAGGTAATTGACAATAAGTAACTTTTTTTTAAAACAATACAAACACACCAAAAATAAGAAGCTTTTGAGAAATAAAACTAAAAACATTTCTGGGCATAATTTCTGGGCCTTTAAGCAGAAAAAAGCAGAAAAGTTTAGCAAATGCTTGTGAACAATTAAAAGTCACAACAAATTTGTTTGTGATGTAATTAATCAGTCTGCAACACCTGTTATTTATAAATGTTGGAATGACTTCCTAAAATTCAAATTGACACATTTATACTTCACCTGCTGTGTTTACAAAAAGAATTGATTGGTCTTTACTCAATGGGTATTTCAAAATAAATGTATACTAAATCCTTTATTAGTTCTGGAAAAAGTCAGAATTATTTAGTACTTGTACAGAATTATGAAATCCCCAAACTCTCTTTTATACAAACCGGTGCTTTTTAATGATGCAAATGGTAATTTATTAAATAGCTGGTCAAAATATGTTAAAAATATGTCGTCAGATTTAAGTAATTATACATGTATAGAATAATGGTAATATTACCACTGTGCCTGTAAATACCAAAATACAAAATATTTTTGATCAGCAACTACAACAATGGTGTGCTAACTTATTACTTTTTCAAAATTAGAAAGTTATAATTTGTTTAAATAGAATTTACCCAAGAGAAATATTAAAGTTGTGTTAATAATTTTAAGCATTGTAGTTTAGGTGCTCTTCACCTAAATTAGTTATTGAAGAGGATAGACATAGAAATATTGAAAGAAAACCAAAATGTACAAAATGAAATATGTGTAAATATAAACTTAGCAAAATTTGTTTAATAAGCGATGCAACTATGAATTGAATCTACGTTAAAGGAACTCCACTCAGGTCAAAAATCCTAGGAACATAAAAATTTGAATGTTGTTGATGGATCAGCTGTGGCACTTAAAACAGAAAGATATGCAAAAGATAATTAAGAAATACCCTAAAATAAATTCAAAATTGTATCTTTATACTATTTTCAACCTGATATAAGTAATAAAATGTTGCAACACTTTTCAATTTTTGGTCATTTTCATAAGAAGAAGAATTATTCTGGAAAAACGGAGTGAGCTAATAATCTGAATTTTTTCACACATATTACTGGTCGAGACCTACATCAAATGGAACATTAATCTCAAAAAATAATTTTTAGTATTGTCATGTCAAAAATACGTCAGTGGAGTCCCTTTAATACATTTGTTTGAATTATTTTACACTGAAACATAATTATGTGTATGTATAATAATAACCGCTAAAATGTAACTTGGCAATGAACATGTACATGTATATGTTTTTGCTAATAAAACATTTGACTTGACTTTGAAAATTTAACAAATGGCATAGATATTTGTATTTCTTACAGCTTTATATTTTTATGACAGAAAATTTCCAAAGTTATTATTGAGAAAATTTAATCAGGAGTAAGAGTACTACTTTGCCTGTTGTACTGCATGTAAATATTGGGCAAATAGATATTGTGACAATTATTCTTGTCCAGTTATTTTACAATTGGTTGAGCATTAAAACAGAAGTACATATAAATGGCCAGACAACCACAATGACTCACAACCTCAAACTTGTATACCAGCTGCATAACTTAGTTGTACAGAGGTATTTTTGTTTGTTTGTTTTGGGTTTTATGTCACATCTACACATTATAGGTCATATCGAGACATTCCAGCTTTACTGATGGAGGAAGACCTCAGGTGCCCTTCCGTGCATTATTTCAGGCACGAACGGGCACTTGAGTAGAACCACCGACGTTCTGTAAGCTAGCTTCCTCACATGAAAGAATCCAAAGTCCCTGTCGGGATTCGAACCCACAGCGGGGAGGCGCAAGTGGTTTGAAATACAGAGGTATATGAAAGATCTTTAAGACATATCTTTCCAAATAATTTACAAATGTAATATGATATATCAATATAACACTAGTGTCAATACAGTGGAATGGAATCAGAAATTATCTTGTAGAGTCAGACTTCAGCTCATCAGATAAATTATAAACATGTATATTCCCTCACAAAACTTTCATGGTACAGACTTATAATTTTCTGCTACTCATTTCTATCAGTTGAGTTGTAATTTTGGCACACCTGCTACTGTTGTTAATTACTGGAGTTATAACACTTTGATATTATTGATTCTGAATTCCTTGAACACCTTCTACTGGAGTTTATCACTGGAGTTAGAACACTATGATATAACTGATTCTGAATTCCTTGAACACCTGCTACTGGAGTTTATCACTGAACTTCTATTGATGAATTTCTCATTGTTGTAGATTTTTGAATCCCTACAGTGTAAGTGTCATCAATTAGTCCACTAGAATGTCTCATTCCGTTTTCATGTTGAGAAAAACAAATGTCAATTCATTGTCCTCCCAGAAGTTTGTGTCTCTCTGATAATAATAGAAATATATATTAATATCACTTATTATTATCTATTTAGGAGATAGATATCATTTTAAGTGTATTGTTGTAAAATAATGCAGGCTTTCAGTTAAAATGTGCAGGAGTATAATCACAAAGACCGATATGCCTGAGCGATTAATTGGAAAGCATTTGAACAATAAACCATGCATTTTTATACTACAATGCAAGAAAAATTAATATCTATTTCCATTCTTATATGCTTATTAAAAGAGAATTGATAAAAATATGTTGAACTACATTGAGCATAGAAGTAATTTCCCTGACGTCATTTGTTCTGATTTCATATCTGACATCATATGATGTGTAAGCATTTTTTATGCTGTGCATATATCGTGTAATAATTCACTTGATGATAAGCCCTCTCTGTTATGTATATTATTAATTACTAATATTGTGAAGCATGTAATAATAATACATATATCACAAAAAACAAAATATCTATCACTTTTTTGTACACATCTCAAATAAAATATTGTAATATACTTTGCCTCATTAATTTTAAATGAAAAATTAATATTTGTCAATTATTTTTTATTGGCAGATTTTACATTTTAATTTTGCATGTAATATGCATATAAAATGTTCCTGTGACAATAAATTGCAGGAAAATTATGTAAACAATGAAAGCACCCTGAAATAATTTAATTTGACAGACTTATATGATTTCATGTTTTTCTAAGTTCTAGTAATTTTATTCTACATGTATAAACTTTAAATTTCTATAGATACAAACATGGATAATGCAAAAGAAATGCAATGTTATATTTTTGCTTAAGAAACGTTTTCAGTATAAATCCTCAACATACTAGATATCTGTACTGAACTTGTCCATTTGTTAATATATATATTACCATTCATTATTGTACTGACTATAATATTACAGTGCAGACCATCCTGGTTACATGGTACAAGCAGACGTACGGTTAGTTAATACATTAGTCATTTTTAATATTCATATACTGATTAAATGCTGGATAAAAACAAATTATTTGTACCATCTTATTGCAACACAAATCACATACATTACTGACATTCACAAATAAATTGTAATGGTAATAATAAATTATTTCAATAATCGCGAGCATTTGATTTACCTGATAGAACTATCAAGTTCATTTTGTAAATTGACCTATATTAACCTGGAAAAATTAAGAAATTGGTACTATATATTTTAATGGTAGTGAAACTTGTTTACTAAACCATCTGTGGGTTTTGCTGTTTGAAAGAAGTTAAAATCATGCAACACTTTTACCAGGAATTTTCTCAGTTGATAAAATGCCATAAATAAGTCATAATCCGTACTTTGAACAGTAATCTCTAATGACTAAGAGATCTTAAATACATACAGTCGGAGTGCCTTTCTCCAGCTATTTTTGGGAAAAAATTCCCCTGACTTAAATTGAGGAAAATTATGCATCAGTTTCATTCTAAGAGTAATTAACATAATTATATATTTACCAATTGATCTGTATAGGTAAGTCTTTTTTTATAAAAGTAATATATCTTAAACTTCTCAACAGTAGAATATTCCAGACATCAACACTCTGTTTCCTATAAAATACAAAAAAAACTTAACACAGAAATAAATACAGAATATATTTGCATAATACAATCTTTGTGAAAGTCCTTAAATCTATAATGTACAGTAGATCTTTTTTATACTGAACCAAATATCACAGTGTATATTAATTTACCAATTAATTATTTCATTCATTCATTCAATTTTATTTATTCAGAATGAAAGTATAAAAGTATTAATATACTTTTGCTGAATGATAATGTATAAGAGAAATAAAAAGAATAATACAACTCAAAACAAAATTGTTATTATTGTGAAATAAATATAACGCATAACTGATTTTTATGTGACTGTAAAACTGTTGACAAAATTTCACCATTGATGAAATTGTTAAATAAGTAGAGTAGTAAAATAATTATACAGTTGTAAACCAAGAATACAATAGTTAATGTATTAGCATTTATCATTTTAAAATGCTTAATTAGAATTGACTGCACTGTCCCCTAACTACTGTCAAACATTGTTGATATGTCCGCAGACAATCGCCTGTAATCTGTACTTTGGAACAAAATTTGTGGTAAAGTTAATTGACTAATAGAGTTTTGTCTGTTGCATTCTTACCTAATTTCCATTTAAAGATTCCCGGATGCTGGCAGGCAGTACATCTTAAATCCTTCCATCAAGAAAAGAGGTCCTGAAGAATACACAAAAAACAACTTTTGATTTTATCATATAACACAAAACTACACAGATGTAATAAATACACTTTGAATAATACAAAACAAACCATTGAGATGACTTGAATTGGGTTTCTACAAAACTATTTTTTATCCCACACCAAGTTGGGTCTATTTCTGTACAGGGGTGACAACAACAATAGCCATGTACGGAACATTAATCTTTCTATGTTGCTTTATCATTCACAATATCAATATCAACACATCAAGTCACTTAAAAAGCAAATTATTTGTATGAAACAAAAAAATATCAGTGATTGTTTCTATCGTCATGATGCTGAAATTTTAAGCACAGTGCTGTAACAGACATAAAAACACATTAAAAAATGTGCACGCAGATCATTCCATCGTTCAAATTTCTTGTAGCTAAAATAATTCAAGATCACATGATCACAAGAGAACAGACATGTTTACATCGGTAAATTAATGAAGAGAGATTTTACACATCTTTTTCAAATAATGAAACAACAAATTATAAAATATAATTGATACACGACACATGCTTATTTAGAAGACAGAGCTTCTGTTGAATAGGTCAAGATCATGTTTTCTTGCACTTGTTATCATTTAAGTGGCACAAATGCCGGGTATAATTTACTGAAAGTGGAATTTGAGGACTCATATTTTTTTTATTTTACCTGGCAATTGAATTCCACGAATTAACAATCTTACCGTTCACAAACCACCAAATTTATGCCCTGAAATTTAAATGATTTTGCAGTACCTTCAATACTTTGTGCTCTGGTAAACCAAAAACACAAACCTTTTCTTTAGACCTGCTATTACAGGTTTCCCTCGCTAACTTATAATTATAGAAACTTATATATCTTTGCCACATTCTTTTGCAATAAAGTACATAATATGTTGAAATCATATCACAGCCTAATTAATTTTAACTTGAACAAGTGCTGTCAGCAGAGAGGTGTTGCTGACAAACATTATATATTTGATGTTACAAAAACGTCCTTCAAGAAATAAAGAATTAAGAGTAATTCTGATAGTATTGGTTAAATGGCCATAATTCTGACAAAATATCTAAGTTAGAGTTATGGGCCTTGGATAATAACCTATTATGCTCTCAAGTAAGTGTGTGAAGTTTCCTTTCAGTAGTTTTGGAGATAACAACTTGAACGCAAACTTACTCACCAATACAGTAGCTCACAGTTGTAGATCATAATTGTATACTCAAGTATTGCAATGCCATTATTATCAACGAGGCATTCATTTTGTGGATTTCATGGACAGGCTAATCCACATAATTGAATGAACTTGACCGGTTATATAAATTTTTGTGATCAGAAAAGTGTATTGCTTAACAAAATGCCCAAAAATAAACAAAAGTAAATGTCACATAAACTTTTCTAAACACTTACATGGACATTTCATAAAATCACCATCTATCTGCTTGGTATTTCAATGTGCTATTGTCCTTGAATACAAGGCCATATGCCGTCCCACAAACACACTTGTCTAAACCTGTATTGCTGGCATCATGACACCAGCCACATGCTGGACTCACGTTTGTATAGATCTGTACATCTTGTTGCTGAAATGGAACAAATATAAACTTTTTCTCTACACATGCTGATCAACATTCCTGTAAGGTTTCCTGACTGTAGGTCAATTACTTTTTAAGCTATGTGCGACACAAAAAGAGAACGGACGGATGGACGGACAAGGGTAAATCTAAATGCCCCACCTCCCCTAAAGTGGGGGCACAATAACCAAAAACATTGCAGGAAACTGCAAGTACTGTCTCAACATGGAGGCTGCTATCTTTTTTTCTTGGCTATATCCCATACTGAATGGTACTATTTCTTGAAATCAGTTGCTATTGCTATCAAAATATTGTCATTTTCTTGGTTATTTTTAGTAAAGTAATATATTTTGTATTTCTTATGAAAATGACTTGTATGGAGCTAAAGTGTGTCACAGATACACTATTATACCTATACTGTAGTAAATTTCATACAAAAATGGAAGTATAAAAACCAATCACTATCAAGATGTTATACTGCAAAGAAAATTTTGCATGATTTTTAAGGGGAAAAAAGATCTAGTTGTGACTCTCTACAATGTACTTTAGTATATAGTATAAATAACGTCATAATTTTCCTCAAATTGACTTTCATATATTTTTTCCCCTCCCTACCAGCGCCCAGCATCTCCCCCTTTTTCCTAAAAAACCCCACTGGATTTGATGAACATGTGAAACTATTGATTGTCTAATGATCTTAATATAGACTTTTGGTGAAATTAACTAGGCCACCACTGTTCATCGTTTAACTTCATGTTGCTAACTAGTGTACAAAATTTCCACATGAAACAGAAACAGACATAGATACATTGTGAATGTAATGAAAAAGTTACCTGTATTTGTAAAGTGACTAGTTCTCCTTCAAGATTAACTCTGTTAGGTGTTGGGCATGGAGAGCATTTTCTCAGGTGCCCTTCAGTGCATTAATTCAGGCACGAACTGGCACCTGAGTAGAACCACCGAAGTTCCGTTAGCTAGCTGGATAGCTTCCTCACATGAAAGAATCCAGTCATTGTCGGGATTCGAACCCACAGCGGTGAGGGGCAAGTGGTTTGAAGTCAATGACCATAACCACTCGGCCACGGACGCCCCTATGTAAGTATGTCTTCCTCCATCAGTAAAGCTGGAACGTCACCAAATGACCTATACTGTGTTGGTGTGACTTAAACCCAATCAAACAAACAAACATATTTACGTGAACAAGCATACTTGACTAAAGTAGGGTTTTGAAAGCTAAAGTCAGTAGCTATACTAACACTTAAAGGGACTCCACTGAGGTTTAAAAGCCTAAAAACTTATAAAATCAGATTGTGTATTTTGAATACTTGGTTAAGTAACAAATAATTAGTGCAGAAAAATGTCAAAATGCAGCAATTAACTTTCCTTTTCTTATTAAGTAATGGCACATAGTTTTTTTTCTCATAGATTTATCAGTTTAATATCATCTTTTGTAGATCAAATGATCCGGAATGGTAACGTAGAGTTGCAAGCTCGTGAAGGAAATTCTTACAAAAATGAGCTGGGGCATGTTAAACAGACATATATGCAAAGATAGTTAAGAAATATACTTTGAAATAAATTGAAAATCGTACTTTTATGCTTTTCTTAGCCAAATTTGAGTGAAAAGCGTTTAAACGCTTTTCATTTTGGGTCATTTTTTTACAATTTGAATAATTATTCTGGAAAAACGAAGTGTGCGAATGATCTGAAATTTTGCACAAAAATTAGTGGTCTAAACCTGCTTCAAATGGTGCATTTATCTGGAAAAAATATGTTCAGTCTCGTCATGTCAAAAAACCTCAGTATTGCCCCTGGTGAACGAAAAAGCCTGTAGACAAATAAAATTAAACCAACACTTACCATATGCCTGTCACAATTTTACTTTTCTGTTTTGTTTCATAGGCTCTTGTACAGGATTTTCTTGTTGCTCTGCTTTCCTCAAAACATGGATTTTCCATTTCTTGCTTTGGATTTTCCATTTCTGGCTGTTACGTTTAAGAATCCAATTATCTGGAGGTATGAAGGCATCAGAAACCCAGCCTGAAATAATTAAAGTCCAATAGCATAAAAAATTATACTTATAATGAAACTCCCAACATGCCATATAATAACTATGCTTATTTTGGTCCACTTATAGTCAATCCTCCTGAGCCCATGATGAAACTGGATGAGAAGTTATAAAACAGAATAAATCACCCATATTTTGAAAAATTTCCCTTACTTAACTGTAAATATATGTTAATTCTTTTAACTCTTTGTGTGGAGAGAATCGTTGATTTTACAACTTACAGTAAACTCCACTTACAACAATATCCCTGATAATAAGCTGTTTTGTTGTCCTACTCTCGACTTTTGGCTTATCAGATATACTTATATCTTATATAAATTCAGAGATCCCTGAATATCATTATAATAGACAAAAGCAACCTTTTTTGGACATTTATTGCAAATAACTCATGTTAAAATTGTTAATTAATTTTTCATTGTAACAGTCTTCTTCTGATGGATAGACAGATCAGATCATGAACAGATCATGAACAAGAACTACTATTAGCAGTCATGTTTTGTCATTGTATTTTACGTCATGGTTCACAACTGTTCACTTTTTAGGGGAAAATTGTGTAAGCAGTCAGATAGCTCAGTCGTAAGAGCCAGGGAACAGTATTCTGAGGGTCTCGGGTTCGAGTCCCGTTCAGGCTGCACATTTTTCTCATCCTGTGACAGAATGATTTAAATTTGTTCACTGCAATTAAAGCAAAATTTAAAAACTTTACCATGACAGTCAAGGTCACATTGAGCTCAAATTTGAAGTTTTCAACATGCCAGTTTTGCAGTAAGTTTTAAACTTAACAATTTAAGCAAAATTCAATATGACTTTGATGGTCAAGGTCATTTAAGGTCAAGGTTTTTTTCTAAAAGATATTTTTGGTTGGGATTTATGTCAGGGCCGGCAAAATCTGATTTAAACTTACTTGTCTGTTTTTATGTGAATCATTATTTAACTTGTCTGTATGATATTTACATAGTCAATTCTTGAAAATTTTCATTTGTCCGTACAGACTGAGGGTCAACCTGGACAATACCGACAATTGATTTTGCCAGCCCTGTACGTCATATGAGCTACAGATCAATCCTATTAAGTTTCAGAACTTTCACGAAAGGTGATTCATACATCCACCAGCAGGGGAGTCCGTGGCCGAGTGGTAAAGGTGATTGACTTCAAACCACTTGCTTCTCACCACTGTGGGTTCGAATCCCGACAGGAGGAAGCTATCCAGCTAGCTTACGGAACGTAGGTGGTTCTACTCAGGTGCCCGTTCGTGCCTGAACTAATGCACAATCAAACAAACAAACATTCAACAGCATCCTGTTTTGGAAATTAAGGCATAGATCCCTGACCTATCTAATTCTTATTATCAGATTAGTGGATACAATAACAATTTAATCACTACCTATCTGTTAAGAAAAGAGCACATGTCAATGTTTGTGGTTTAAAATCTATTGTTATTCAAATAAAAGTCAGAGTAGGGATCTATCAATAGTCTTAAGCATAATTTGAACTCAACCTATATTTTATGATGTTTTATCAGTATACAAATAATTCTTACAATTAATTGCCCATCTTCCAGAAACCATTTTTCTTTTCTTTAGGGACAATGACCATGACCTTGAAACTAGGGGATCCAACAACAATCCCAAGCTAGGTATCTACATAAGCTTGCTAAATACTGTAACAATATCTCATTTCTAGCTCCTTTAATTGTCTACAAAAGATTTTTAAGTAACAGTGAACTTGATCCCAGGGGGTCCAAAAGCAATCCCAAATGGGGTCTTCTTATAAGATTGCTTCATAATAAATTTATTTGATCATGATATCTTATTTTATATCTATTATTGCCCAGAAATCACTAATTTTTAGTAACAGTGATCCTTTACCCCATGTGGTCCAACAACAATCCCAATTGAGGTTTCCAAATACAGTGTTTGAAATCAATATCTCTGATTAAAAACTCATTATTATACAGAAACCATTTTCTATTTTTAGTAAAAGTGACCCTGACCTTGATCCAAACACAATCAGAAGCGAGGTCTGCATATAAGGTTGTTACATAATCATTGATTACAATATCTCATTCAAAACTATAGTTATCGTCCGATAACTAGTGAGAAAGATTGAGGTATAAATGGACCAACTCACAAGCTGACTACTATATTCTCCACTAAATTTTGTATGTGGGGGTATAAAAATCATTGACTCTAACATAATTCATTAAATTGGAAAATACCAATATTATGCACAATATGACCAGGTATTGATCATTCCTGTAAAGTTTGGATGAAATTGTACCAGTAGTTTTTGAGTAGTAGTCCGCAAAAGTTTTGTGATGGACAGATGGATAAACGGACAGACAGATGACAGAGAATTGTTCTCTATATGTTGTCACTACTTAGTACTATATATAGGCAATACAATCAAGACGGCCCTAGATTGCTCACCTGACACATCAAACTAGGCAGTTAATTAGACAAGCATCTTGACCAAGTTTAATGACAATTGAATCAAAACAGTAGCCACCAGAGTGTTAACAATATTTTTCTATTTTTAGCTCCTGTGACCTTGTTTTTCATCCGAAAAGACCCATGTTCATACTCATCTGAGCAATTACCTAGACAAGCATCCTGCCAAAGTTTGATGATGATTGAGGCAAAATGTGACCACAAGAGTGTTAACAAACAAATGTGGACAGAAGACGGACGGCAGACGACGGACATTCAACAATCCTAAAAGCTGAACCTGTCAGCTAGCTCAGGTGAGCTAAAAAGTCATGACAATTAAAACAAAATTTGCAGTTTTGACCTTTAGTACCAAAGCCAAATAAAAAGGTAATGGTCAAATTCATAAATCTTATCCAAGTATGAAGACAATCCCTTTAGTATTCATAAAATAATGTTCAAATTGTGTAGTTTATGTACTGCACGACAACAACAACACAACTGTAGCAATAGTGCAAATTTTTTCTTTAAAGTACATGTACATGTACTTACAGTGCCAACATAATAATTATTTCAACAAAGGCTGCCTTTTGGATGACATTCTTTTCCTATTTTCATCCAAGACTGTAAGTGTTCACTGGTCATCAGACTGTCTCCACTTGGCTTTACCCAACATGTATATGCATGTATAATTCACCCTTGTGGCCGCCTGGTCAAAGAATCCAAAATAGGGTTGTCTCCCTTGCATTGTTAAGGAACCTTTTCACTATGAAAAGAAATTATGTAGTATATGTAACATATAATGCATAACATTGGTAATTAATATTTGTGTTAAAAGAATCCATCAATAAATGATGAAGTGCACTTATCCTTTGAGGCCTAATAAGTTATGATACTAAATAACCTCAAGGGTGGGGGCGTTTATTTAGGGTGGGGGCATGATTCATAAAACATTTATAGAGGTTTACTAGGCAATGATATGTGCCACATATAGAAGCTCTGGGTATTGTAGTTAACCACAAAAAGATGTGTTTTTCTACATAAAGGAAGTGACTGCCAGGGAAGGACCCCTTTTCACCCAAGGGTCATTTTTAACTTTTGTAGAAATCTACAATCGAACAGTTGCTACATGCCAAATATTGCTTGTCGACCACAGGGGGTGGCGAGAAAGCGAAACAAAGTTTTTGTGCTATAATAGAGCATAATACATCCAGGGGTCTCGTACTCTCAAAAAACTAGAAATGTGTCCATAGGACACGGATGCCCCCACATGCCACTGTTATGTCAATCTTATGACTCTAGGTCAAATATATTTTGGACTACAAGTGCCACAAGTTAAAAACTAAAAATAAACAAAGGGCCATAATTCTGTTAAATTTGGTCGCAACAAAAATTCCTTTCTTTACTACCATCTACAAATTAAGGTTGTTCATTTCTGGAAGTTTAAGCAAAATCTGCCATCCGGTTTAAGAGGAGTTGCATTCACAAAATTTCTACATAGTATATTGTGAAAAAATCAACAAAGGGCCATTATTCTGTTAAATTTGGTCGCAGCAAAAATTCCTTCCTTAACTACCATCTACACATTAATGTTGCTCATCCCTTGAAGTTTAAACAAAATCTGCCATCCGGTTTAAGAGGAGTTGCGTTCACAAAATTTCTATATGGTATATAGTGAAAAAATCAACAAAGGGCTATAATTCTGTTAAATTTGGTCGCAGCAAAATTCCTTCCTTTACTACCATCTACACATTAAGGTTGTTCATCCCTGTAAGTTTAAGCAAAATCTGCCATCTGGTTTAAGAGGAGTTGCATTCACAAGATTTCTATATAGTATATAGTGAAAAAAATCAACAAAGGGCCATAATTCTATTAAATTTGGTCGCAGCAAAAATTCCTTCCTTTACTACCATCTACACATTAAGGTTGTTCATCCCTGTAAGTTTAAGCAAAATCTGCCATCTGGTTTAAGAGGAGTTGCGTTCACAAGATTTTGGGACGTACGGAGGACGTTCTCACTGGACAGTAATTATGTGGCTACTCTATTGTTCTCTCTATTGTTCTTTTTAGCCACGCAAAAGAAAATAGCCACATAAAAGCATTACGAAATGAATGACATCAAAGAGAAAGAACAGTTACCTATTGTCCCTCTAGCCACATAATTACTCTCCTGTGAGTGCGGACAGACGTACGGAAGGACAGACAGACGGACAAGTGCAACGCTATATGCTCCCACTTTGTGGGGGCATAAAAAATGAAAATTTGGACAAGATACGAAAATCAAATAAAGTTGAAATAAATTCTATAACAATAGATGCAAGCAGGCAACTAGCAAAGACCATTAAAGACTACAAAACTGTGAAAAAAATTAAACTAAAACATAACACTTGTTACATTCATAAGCTTAGAAATTTAGAAAAACAATTAAGAGCGATTAAATTAAGTTTAAAACTTCCGTATGGACAAAAAAAGGAAATTTTTGTTAGATCTTTAGCGAAGTCTGTGAGAGCAGGATAATGTGTCTGTCTGGAGTTGCAAAAAGCAAGGTCACAAAGTACAACGACAATGATTTTCTTTCGAAATGTACCCTTGCTTTCGAAAACATTATTACATGCTTCTCGAATAATCACTCATCGTGTCGTACAAAATCAACAGTGTGTCAACACCATAATTATGGCCATTCTTGATAAATACAACACAAATCATCTACCATAATATGGAAAACATTTACAACTTAATAAACAAGATAAAGAAAACATAAAAGCAACTATACTTAAAATTTTAGATGTGAAAACCATTTAGGCTAATATTGGCAGAACTTTTCAATACAAATCTATGCGAAAGTTTACATTCTACTGTTTTTAATTATGCCCCTAAATTCATGTGCTTGTCAAGAAATTTTTCAGAGCTCTGTCATTCTACAACACATTCTAGAACTCTTGGCAAAGATATAGCTGAAGTCAAATTAGCTAATGCCATTAGTATAAACGTTAAGAAGAGTTCAAGAATGTTCTTGCAGCTTATAAGAATGGATACAAAGCGAATGTATCATTCTATGCGCCAAAAGACTACAGAGTATAAGCAGTCTAGATACTTCATGAGAAAACGCTTCCAACATCGGACTGAATTTCTGGACTCGCTTTACTCTAAAGTACCCTCAAATCTTAGAAAAGAACACAATTATGGTGCGAACTGCTGAAAATTTCTGCCATTTCACAGAAAGTAATTGACTCAAAACTTCAGTGGCCTTGCATAGAAAACAAAACCTTGCAACTTTCTAGTTACCTTACAAAATACATCCCTTGTACCCATGGTGGCCAACACATTCACCAGAATTTTTACAAACCATTCTATTATTATTTACAATGAGTGGCTCATAAGACAAATAATTACAATCCATAAGTCTCCTACCGGTTAGAAGCCCAGCAACATTCTGATGGGCCACTGGCCATTCAATTTTACCATTGAATGAATGACATGAATGAACTTAAATCTTTTCGAGTTCTAACTTTGTCTATATCACAGTAATGTGTTAAGTTTCCCTGCCTAGTAAGGAAATTATGTTTTTACAACAGATAATCAAATGGTCTAATTTTCTCAGGATGAATAAAATAACAGTTACTAATGTTTCAACTTTCTATTTCTATTCTATTTCTTTCTGTTTCAATTTGTTAGAAAAATCTTTAAAAGTGATCTCAGAAAACAGTGTTTATGAACAGACACAGACAGACGTACATACATACAGACTGAAGGAGACTCTAAAGTTATTTTTTCAAACATCCCTGTTACCAAAATATAACATATTTTAATGCAAAATTCATAAAAAAGAAGATAACTCTTGAAATAAAGATGCTAGATTTATGAACATTGTCATATATGATGAGAGTTTTACTTTAAGTTTAAAGGAATGAAGAAGTTAGAGTAAAAAATACCAATTTCTCGAAAAAAATCTAAGTTCAAGGGAGACATAATTCTGAAAATAGTCTTGCTAGAGTATTTAACCTTCTCAAAAATGTTGAGTGATAATAAGAAACATATATATGAAGTTTGAAGTAGATACAATAAGAAATAAAGAAGTTATTTAAAAAAGACAGCATTTTTTTCATAAAAATTCTAAGGTCAATGGAGGTAATTCTGATAATTTTTGTGCTAGAGTTGTAAACCTTGTCAAATATGATGTGGTTGATGACCAGAAACTTATATTTAAAGTTTGAAGTAAACACCTTAAGAAATAAAGATCTTATAGTGAAAAAGCTTAAAAATTTAAATCAGAAATCTTGAAATTCAGTCTATTTGTTGCCATAGCAACCAGAATTTTCAACATAAAAAGAAAAGAAAAAGATGTGCATAATCTTTAGACTGCCATCTACCCATATTTTAGGTTTCATAAAAAGATTTTCATTACTTTTTGAGTTATCACTGGATCCAGTTTGTGTGTTAAATTTGCCATATTTTCAGACTATTAGTTGCCATAGCAACCAGAATTTTCAACATAGGAAGAAAAGAAAAAGACGTGCATAATCTCCATACTGCCATCTATCCATATATCAAGTTTCATTAAAATATTTTCAGTTCTTTTTGCGTTATCGCAGGATCCAGTTTTGTGGACAGATGGACTGACAGACAGACGGACGTACCAAAATTTGATGTTTATGAGGCAAATGAGCTCATAAACACCACCTGGACCACCTGTTTATTTAACTACGGAATGAAGCTCATAATAATCAAATGTTGGCTCGGACGGACAGACGGACGGAGGGTAAACCTAAAGTTCCATCCGGTTAAACCGGTAGGGGACTTGCGTTATCGCAGGATCCAGTTTTGTGGACGGATGGACTGACAGACAGACGGACAGACAGACGGACGGTTCCCATAATACGTCCCGTTTTTCAAACGGGCGTATAAAAAGCCTTTGAGAAATAAGAATAACAGCATTACTGAGGCATATTGAGGCTTTAATCTTGCCTTTACCATACATTTACATTAATTTTGGCACTGAATGGAATTGTTTGCTCCGAACAGAGTATCTCTAGTAGATATAAAATAGGTTAAGTACCTTCATTCTTTGTCTGATATACTTGTATATTGCACCAATTATAATTCTTGGACCTGAAATCAAATAAAACATGAAAATAAGACGTGACCGTGGACAACTCACTTCACTAATCTCACCGCTGGATAGTTACGTACTAGACAAGCAGGGGTATAATTCTGCAAAACTGTCGAGAGCTAGGATGTGTCTTCCCTAAGAAAATAATTAACCAGGGCAAAAAAAAATCTTCATTGAAAAAAGGGGCATAACTTTGCCAAAAAATGGCACTAATTTCAGTGAAGTGTGAAGAATATACACTCATAAAGAACATGCTGTCTGATGTTCACCAGCTTCACAAATGCCGAGCAAATAAAAGTAACGCAAGTTTGTTGTTATCATTGCAGAGTAACTTTCAACAATCTTGGAGAAATAATGATATTCAAATGAAGAAATATACCATCTAGAACAAAACTTTACAATCAACTTTTATGTAAATTTACAAATTTTACTGAATCATAAATATTAAAATGAACAGCAATAATAGTTGGGTGATATATAACACTGTGGTATAAATCCCGGTATCTCACTGGTAAATATACAATACATAGAAAATATTGTCTTAAATTTGAATTAGTGCAGGTTAAATTGAATCTACACAAATATAATGATTATACTATTTATCACATTTCCGAAATAAGAACAGTTAACTGTATAAAAAGAGAAAATTATCATTGATGTGCCTATGGTGTAATGCTTACATGAGTGCGCTTTTACGATGTTTGTATATAACACTAATGACTTCACATCAAAGTTTATTTTGTTTGTTTTAATTTGGCTTACGTCACACTGACACATTATAGGTCAAATGGCGACATTCCAGATTTACTGGTGCAGGAAGACCTTGGGTGCCCTTCCATGCATTATTTCAGGTAGGAACGGGCTCCTGAGTAGAACCACTGACGTTCCGTTAGCTAGCTGGATAGCTTTCTCACATGTCACATCAAAGTATTATAAAATTAGAGTGATATCGGTTTTTTATTAAATTACTTATTACAATCCAGCCTCGTAGTTAATGCGATAAAGAATAATATCTATTGGTTGGCACGATAAATTTGAGAATATTACGTACCAAGTGCACACTTGTCTCCGACACCATAAACTATACCAGGTCTTATTACACGATATTTCAGACCTGTCACATGACTTAATTGGTTCTCCACCTGTAACTTATACTTGGCTACATGTGTCCATGGATCAGGTTTCAAATCCTCATTGGCAGGTTTCTGCAAAGTTCAAAACATATTTTTTTCCACAGTTGTAATTTTACACTGACTATGGGAGTAATTATTTATTATAAATTTAAAAAAAACTTTACTTGAAAAGTCGGTTTTTTTAGGTTTATACTTGTGTATATAAAGATATATATATATATATATAATATAGGATCACACATGAGTTGTCAAAATTATATGGATAACCACAGGAACTTGAGATTCTATCAAATGACCAAAATATACAATAATATCCAAAATATACCCCCTATATAGTATAAACACAAGGAATGAAAGGCCTTTTCCCCAACCCAAAATAATTTACCTCGAACAAATCAACAAAACAACAGATCAAAATAATCTATCAAGCCATTTCTATAAACGATACATAAATACATCTTATTCCACCGGTAACCTTGTTTATTTATATAATAAAGAGGGTATTTTTTGGATATTATTGTTAATTTTGGTTTGGTTTTGATAGAATTTCAAGTTCCTGTGGTATAGCAATGTATCAAACATTATTACAAGATTTTAAGCCACTGAAATTATGAAACTATTCTAGTTTAGAATTAGGACTTTTCTACGCCATGTTTTTAAATGAAATGTTAGAATGTCGTCATTAAGAATCTTACACACTGGTTGCTGTTACCGACCGGAATATCTAGCTTGAGATTAAATGTTTATAGCGGTAACTAGCCTCTGCTGAGTTACTGCTAAACAGTTACTTGCACCAGAGAGCTAGACAGTCCCTTCTGTACCGACAGCCGGTGTTTGATTCTTTTTCTTGCATATAACATTTATAATCATTTTACGGAAAAACTCACTAAAACTTATATTTTCATTAGCACTTGTTTCTTACAGTAGCGATCATTCATAACAGTAAAATGTAGTCATCCTATGAACACAATCCATTCATAAAAGGCGCGCTGCAATGATGTCATGTAAAGCATGCGACTTATCTTACATCGGAATTATAAGACAGGATTTTCTAGCACCGGCGTAAACAGTAGATAATCCTGTCTTATAATTATGCAAGAAATAGAGGATATTGAAAGAGTTTAGGTTTAATACTAAATTTATTGAACAAGTTGAATAAAATCATATTATGCGAGCCTCTGGGGGGAATAATATTGTTTTATTCAACAAGTTCAATAAATTTAGTATTAAATCTACATGAATATAATATTATATTTATCACATAGTAAAAAAGAGAATGGTTTACAGTTAAAAGGAGTAATTTTTCAATGATGCACCTATAGTGTTACGCTAACATAAGCGCGCTGTAACGCTATGTTTCCATACAGCGCAAATGTCATCACATCAAAGTGATATTACACTAGTGTAATATCGTTTTTATTAAATGGCTTTATTACACTTCTGTACCACTCACTGTTTATGTGATAAAAGGAAATATTGAATGGGTAATATTACATGGAAAACAGTACACGGAAAACAAGCTAACTGTATATCATGTGAAGAAATATTTACAGATACATTTTTAGTTTCTAAAGTTTTAAATTAACATACTTGTCCCAGCACTACATTTCTTCATTAATTATGTAGAGTAACTTTCTTAAATTCCAATTCTTATAAGGTAGTTTAAGAAGTATGTTTATATATGTATTTACATTATAAGATCACTAAACACTGCAAACATAATACAAACGTATCTGTATATTGTACGTCTGTGATCAATACTGACACCAAGTGTCTACACTCATAATAATAAAAAAAACGAGAAAAAAACAAAAAAACAAACAAACAAAAATACGGAAAAAAAAAGAGAAATTTGTCTGTAAAACTGGTTTTCAAAAGTAGAAAGAATTAACAAGAACAAGTCTAATTTAACAGTGCTTTTTTGTGCTACTGAAAACAAAACAAAGAAACCAAAAAACACATAAAAAGCTAAACATACATAAAGTAAATTCAGCTATCTGTTCTAACGTGCTGTCCTTAAATCTATGTTGCTTCCTGTTTTATAGATATTATTGTTGTATCATCTTGATCAGCAATATTGCTAGCAGTGTATGGGCTAATATTGTAGCAATTCACAAACTTTACGCTTTGCAATTTAGACCAATCAGAGCATAGAATATTATTCTGTGCGGAGCTCTTTTTTTACTGGCATCCATCTTGTAAATTTAAATTCAGGAGAAAAAATTACTTTAAAGTCCAATATAGTTGTTTTAAATACGTTGAATATTTAATCAACATTTTAACCCTTTCGCTGCCAGAGGGTTATTGTTTTATTGATCACCTATTTGCCACTATCATGGCGTGAATACCCCCGCATACCACTTGTCAGAATCAACAGTGGCCATTTAGAGCTCAAGGACAACCTCCCTGCCAAATCTGAGGTTACTAAGCCAGTGCATTGCTAAGTTATGTATTCTACATGCTTCAAATGTGAAAATGTCAAAATCAATACATTGCGGACAGGACATTCTTTAGCAATTGAGAAGAAAAGCTTTTTTTTTGTCAAGGTCCCTGTGACCTTGACCTTTGACCCAGTGACCTCAAAATCAATAGGGGTCACCTTATAGTCATGATCAACATCCATGCCAAATATGAAGACTGTGGGTCAAAGGAATCTAAAGTTATTGGGCAGACAAACTTTTTGAAGTCAAAGTCCCTGTGACCTTGACCTTTGACCTGGTGACCTCAAAATCAATAGGGGTCATCTACTAATCATGACTAACCTCCATGCCAAATATGAAGACTGTGGGTCAAAGGAATCTTAAGTTATTGGGCGGACAAGCTTTTTGAAGTCAAGGCCCCTGTGACCTTGACCTTTGACCTGGTGACCTCAAAATCAATAGGGGTCATCTACTAATCATGACTTACCTCCATGCCAAATATGAAGACTGTAGGTCAAAGGAATCTTAAGTTATTGGGAGGACAAGCTTTTTGAAGTCCAGGCCCCTGTGACCTTGACCTTTGACCTAGTGACCTCAAAATCAATAAGGGTCATCTACTAGTCATGACTAACCTCCATGCCAAATATGAAGACTAAGGGTCAAAGGAATCTTAAGTTATTGGGCGGACAAGAAAAAACCGACGGACAGCCGGACGGACGGACAGCCGGACGGCCAGACGGACTGACAAGCTGATTCCAGTATACCCCCCTTACAACTTTGTTGTGCGGGGGTATAATTATATATGTTTCCAAATATGCTAATATAATAATAATTATTGTCGATAGTATAATTTTCTTTATATTTATTATTATTTTCATTATTAATTTATAATTATTATTATGATTATTATAGAAACGGCAAAAGCCGTCCATATGTCAAATACGCCGAAAATTACAGGGACGGCATAAGCCTTCCCTATGGCAGTGAAAGGGTTAAAAATAATTCTAAAACACAAAATCACAAAGGTGCAAGGTCAAAATGTCAGGAAACCTGAAAACCCTGAATTAAACATTATTTCAATTGATTTTATATAGAAAAAGTAGAACAATTTCTATTGGCCAGTTTGAAACAACATAATTATAATTATTAACCAATCAGATATTTCAACAGAAAACCTTCAATCTTTATTGTCAGCATTCAGAGGACAAACGCATTTAAGCAAAATAAATCAACAACAACAACAAACAAAATGGCCATAACGGTCCTACATCGCTCACATGAGATCAACTGTCAAGACTAGGTAGGTCTGTTGGCCATCATGGCGTAAAATAAGCAAAAATTGGGCCAGAGCTCTTAGTCTTGTAATAATACTGCATTTTTGAAATGTCTCTTTTTCTTGGATACCCTTACCAAAATGACATTAAGTAACTGACAGTATATGTTTCTTATATGCAACTTATATTTGACTTATAAGAAAACTATAAGTTACATATAAGTCAAAAATAAATCACCTTAAAACCTGTCTAAGGCTGTTATAAGTATACATGTATGTTACATATAAGTCACTTTCACCATTTTTTTCCTAAACATGTAAGTCATGTACAAAACCAGATACAAGTCAAGTTTGAGGTAACCAGTTTCTATGTCAGCTATATATATTTATATGCAGCTTCTTTCCAGAGCGGATTTAAGTGAAAACTTAAATCTTTTGTGAGAGTTTTTAATCATGCTGTTTATATAGTTTTTATATACAAGGCTACCATAAATTCATGAGAAGTCTCTAAGAAAAGAAAGTTAATGGTATTATAAATTTGTTATTCCTATTAACTTGGGTTATGTTTCCAAGCATTTATATGAGGTCATATAACCTGTCAAGAACCTTTATAACTAATAATATACATTAATATCCACAATATACATGAATAGCTTCATACAGTTTAAGTAAGAAGATATACATGTATAGCTTCATACAGTTTTAGGTCAGGGTAACGCATTGTAACACGGCCAGCGATTGGCTGAAAAAAGTGCAGGGAAAACCGTATGAGTCAATTTATACATGAGGTGATTGGATGAAAGTGGGGTATTTTTAAGTATAAAAACTAATTAAGGAACTGACACTTTATTGTTTTTTTTTAAGAAAATAAATACTGCATAAGTCTCTATGATAATTTGTGACTTGGATATTTTCATTTATGAAAAGTGTATATCAGTCCTGTGATCAGCAGAAAATTTCAATGAAAAGGGAGGTAATCCTCTTTGAAGTCATTTTGCCAAAAATTTGGTTGGCTACCCCTATATAACAGGATCATTTTTATGTGTCAGGCATTTCATTCTGCTAGAAAAATCACCTCTTTAGCATGAAAACTCAATTTTAAGGTAGGATTAGGGACCATTTCTTATAATGTAAGTCTATGGAAATATCAATGTGAGTGTCTGACCTAAAGTAAGAAGATATACATGAATAGCTTCATACAGTTTAAGTAAGAAGATATACATGAATAGCTTCATACAGTTTAAGTAAGAAGATATACATGAATAGCTTTATACAGTTTAAGTAAGAAGATATACATGAATAGCTTCATACAGTTTAAGTTAGAAGATATACATGTATAGCTTAAATATGGTTTAATCATAACAAATAACAGACATCACACCTCCAAAAAACTTAACTTCCGAGCACTTTGTACTCAGGTAAGCTGAAAACATATTCCATAACATTAACATACCTGTTTCAAATAATATAATTCTAGACAAATACAAAAAATGAGAAAAAAAGTATATAATATTTTATCAATTATATCAAATTAAATTTATTCTATTTATAAAAGACTTAACAAAGTATTCTTACAAATTTAAACTATTACATACTATGTGAGACACTTTATAAGTTTTAGGAAAAAGTGTCAATACTGAGTTTTAGCAATATGGTTAAACAAGAACTGTCGGAGGACAGTATTGGCTCGACTATTCAAAAATTGTCCCAAGGGTGTTTTATTGAGTATAATAATGCTAATTACCTATGAATACATAAAATTGACCGAAAAGATACAAAGACTTGTTATTAAGATGTTTTATCAAGTAAATCACTTCTTTATTATTATGAATGCATAAAAATGTCCCAAAAAAGGCACAAACTCTTCAGTAGTTATGGAGATAACAGCTTACAAGCAAAACTTTACAAGTTTACCATGAAACCAAAATTTCTAAATTATAAAGGGGCATAATTCTGTAAATATTGCAGGCAGAGTTATCCAACTTGTCAATCTGATGTACATTGTTACTATAAATAAGTATTGTAAGTTTCAATTGAATATCTCAAGCAATAATTGAGATATTTGACTTTACAAAAAACTTTAACCAAAATTTCTAAGTTAAAAAGGGGCATAATTTTGTAAATATTGTAGGCAGAGTTATCCAACTTGTCTATCTGATGTACATTGTTACTATAAATAAGTATTGTAAATTTCAATCGAATATCTCAAGCAATAATTGAGATATTTGACTTTACAAAAAACTTTAACCAACATTTCTAAGTTAAAAAGGGGCATAATTCTGTAAATATTATAGACAGAGTTATCCAACTTGTCTATCTGATGTACATTGTTACTATAAATAAGTATTGTAAGTTACAATTGAATATCTCTAGCAATAATTGAGATATTTGACTTTACAAAAAACTTTAACCAACGCAGACGCCGACGCTGACGCCGGGGCGACTACAATAGCTCTCATATTCTTCAAATAGTCGAGCTAAAAATTCAAGACAATTTACCCTCCTTGACAACAGCCCACCCATGTATTTAAACTAATTAATATTAGCCGGGACAATGTCCCTCTCAGTATTTTCATATCTCATTTTCTGTTTATATTTTTCACAGGACCGATTTTCCTTTAATGCAATTTTATAACCATGACATTTTTCTAAAAATTGCACACGATACATACAAGTATGCATCTATTACAAAATAAAGATTTTACAATTTTGATTACCTCCCTTGGTCAGCGAAAAAATAAATATGGCACTTTGTTAATATTTAACTTTTGAAAACCAGAAACAATGGTTGTGTTTTAGGTTATATATAGACGGGGCACTTTATAAAGCTGTGAACGTATTGTTTTATTGGATACTGGTGTGACCGGAATGTGCGGGACAATGCTCTATAAAGTGTATGATTTATACATAACCTAAAACTCAAGTTTTTGTTTCCAGTTTTGGTTCGTTAAATATATGTAAACAAACTGATTTTAGGAACTTCTAGCAGTCTATTGCATCAGCAAAGTTTGTCTTCAAAATTGTGCCTAAAATGCAGGACAAGTAGCATAGCATGCAGGACAAGTAGAAATTTAAAGCTATTCATCCTGCAGGACAAGTGGCTTTGGAATTTTTATTTTGATCCCTGAATTCACCACATTTTGACAATGAAAATATGAGCATAATGTCACTTAAACAATATACATGTAATGATAATTATGTAAAACCATACCTTATCACTGGAATACATTTGACCAGACGATATCTCAATATATAATTTCACATTTCTTCTGGCTGCTTCCTCCGCACAGTTCATACCAAGTCTCACAATACCTTCCCTATAAACCTAGACAGTAAAATGTTCCATATAACAGTTAACATTGTAAATTATACTGTATAAACCTAGACAGTAAAATGTTCAATATAACAGTTAACATTGTAAATTATACTGTATAAACCTAGACAGTAAAATGTTCCATATAACAGTTAACATTGTAAATTATACTGTATAAACCTAGACAGTAAAATGTTCAATATAACAGTTAACATTGTAAATTATACTGTATAAACCTAGACAGTAAAATGTTCAATATAACAGTTAACATTGTAAATTATACTGTATAACTTATATAATACCTTCCCTATAAACCTAGACAGTAAAATGTTCAATATAACAGTTAACATTGTAAATTATACTGTATAACTTATATAATTATAGGCTACTTAGACACTGTGTTAAGTAATAGTTATAGTATATGAAACGAATTAGTTACGAGGGTATAACACTGGCTGGGGCGACATCAAGGGGTGTTTCTGCTAAAATTTGGCGAGGCCAGATCTCTGGTCTCTATATATATCACATTAGCCAGATCTCTGGTCTCTATAAATATCACATTAGCCAGATCTCTGGCCTCTATAAATATCACATTAGCCAGATCTTTGACCTCTATAAATGTCACATTAGCCAGATCATAATACCCTTTACAATGTCTTACGTTGTCTGATTGTCCATATTTTGTTTCAGCCGCAAGGTTTATCACGTAATCGTAATTTCCCGTCTCGTCTGTGAACACGGATGACACCGACGCTGAAATACAACACTGTATCTATAGTAAGAATATCACTAAAAATATAATACAACACATGAGCACAGCTTGAAGTGTTAACGCTCATCTGTTAAAATCTTTTAGCTACAAAGGGGCATAACTCCTTATCTAACAAATGCAACTTGTCATAATAAGAAAGCATTTTGTCATGTCTGAAGTTTGAATAATGGCCTACGGTAAAGTTTTAGCATAATGATATCAAGGACAACAATGATGATGACACTGCAGTGATCATAATACCTCAAATTTTCTTCAAAACAGACAAGCTAATACACTATTAGTCCAGTCAGTCTGTAAATCGACCTCAAACAAATTGCAACAGAAAATATTTTACCTGGTATAGAAAGTATATGGAATAACATGAATCATATCAAAAGTCTAGCAAAATCTAAGTTGCGCAACATAGAAAAAAACGGGTTTTTATCGCGTTATTTTTTGTGATTTTTTTCTGACGACAACGGTCTTCCATAGGCGAACAAAGCGTCTCCGATACTCAGAATAGCGACTGCATAATGGCGACAACAACAACAAAATAAGTGTAAACAAATAAATGTCAGTAAAGTACACTGTAAAGTGGGTTGGTATATTTTCCTTAAAATATTACAGATCATAATAGGAATTATTAATGTGGGGTCGTAAGTTTATTATGAGTATTTGTTGAAAATTATTACTTGTTTTACCAGTTCTTTATCCGTTGAAGGTCAACAGGTGTTTCAAGCGATCTGTATTATACTTTTCATGGAAAACAGTTTAATTTATATAAATTACAACTCTGATTAACTCCTGTCTTAGTAAACATTCAAAAACGGCCTAAAAATGTGTATTTATAACAAGTTAATTTCGACAGTATTTTTAAACTATGGAACGCCATTATTACTTAAATTATGACGAATTACGTTAAATAAATTATGAATACTTTAATCATGTTTTATTGTTAAATGTGTATTCAAGGTTGATTTTTTTGTATTTTTTAATAGTTTTTTTAAATTGTTTTACATATATAATGTATGTAATGTTATTATTATTTCAGGGGTACCGCTTTGAGGTAGTCTTCATTGATGTATGCTTGATTTTGAAAAAAAAAAAATCCAGTAAACTATATGTACACTAAATGAGTAAGTTTGCTTTCCTGTGCTTACATTTGTAATATTTTTACATATATAACACAAATATCAAACATTATCTTTTACTAGTTTAAGTGAATATTAAACATGGAGGAAATAGAGCGTCGTATGCATAATTCAATATATCTGAAATTATTTTCAGTTTTTAATAGACATAGAAGAAATTTATACATGAAAAGGTGACATGAAAAATTTATCAATAAACAAACGTGATTTCTAGTTATAAATGGTTCATGATTGGCGATGTGTATGAGTTCAAGGTAAACATGCACAGTTGATCCATAATTTAAAAGAAAATCTTTTATGCATACATTATCACCTGCGCGAATTTGAAAAAGTGCATTACGTGTACAAGATTAATTCACAGCGATATATTAGTAGTTCGTTCGGAATGCACACCTAAGTTATCACTTTTAAAATCAAAATTTAAGCAAATACATGTAACAATAAAAACATCTGTGTATTCTATAGAACCTTATTTCACGTAAATATGAAAATAAGATTCTAATCCTTTCAAACTTGAAGTAATTTCTATGTTACAGATTTCATCAACACACCAGAGCCAATGGGTATGCCCGATCATGTGTTCTGAGGACACTGTGATGTATACGAGTTAAAGGTAAAGATGCATAGTTGAGACATTTGTTTCACAAAATCACTTTAATGATATTTTTCATATAAGCAAACTTTTAAAGTGTGTCATAAGTTCCATATAGTAACATATCAGTACAAATATTTTTGAATGCTTAAAACTGAAAGGTGACATTTTTAAACTTAATATGTGACTTTATCTTTACGTTACTTCCAAACACTTTAACCAGTAGGTATTTTATATTTATAATTTTAGATTAAAACCTTAGAAAATAATAATAATATATGTCATATGTTGCGGTTCGGATCGGAATATCCGTCCCGAGGTGACCCGCCCATTGGGCGGTAACGAGGCTTGCCGAGTTACCGCACATGGGCGGGTTACCGAGGGACGGATATTCCGATCCGAACCGCAAACATATGTCAGATATTTTTTCTTGCATATTTTACGATATAACATTATATTTTGAATTCTTTATCTTAATTTTCAATAGGAATTTATGCCATTACAACCGAAACTATTTTCGTACAACAGCGTATGAAATTACAACTTCATTCATAACGGTAAAATTACGTCATCCTAAAACCCCAGTCACACTAGAGCTTAAGATTACTTGCGACCACCGGCGACTTGTAAAACTGATAATCATCAGCGATTGTCTGCGACCAAAACCATTTTTGCACGTATAAATTTACTTCTGCGACTATCGTAAGACCAGTCATCATTGACAATCGCACGACAGGTCATAAGCAAACGTACGATGGTCTCAAGATTGTGTGGGATTACTTACGACTACCCGTGACCTGTCATGCGATCACCTACAACTAGTCGTACGACCATCACACGATTACTAAAACTACTCAAGATTATCAGTGACTAGTGGCAATTTGTAAAGACTGTCGTAAGATTGTCGCACTTCGGAACGACCATCGTGCGACAGCCTAAGACCTTATAAGATCACTAAGCGACCTGTTTGATCGCAAGGAGGTTTTTGTGCAAGCTCAAAAACCTCTCTACGACTGAAATTGGTCGTGGGACCTAAATAAGATAGTCTGCGACTGTCAAAGATCACCGATGACCGTCGTAAGACGTTTTAAAGAGGTCACTGGTGATCGTGAACTGGTCTTCACTGGTCGTAAGCTCTAATGTGACTGGGGCTTAAGCGTGACATTGTACAGCACGCGACTCATCTGGCACCCCCTATGCCAGATGAAATTTCCGGCATGGTAATACTAACGGAAACGCCAGTCTGATATTTAAGAAAAGTGTGTCATATCAGCAACTTTGATCAAATAAATACACCTAAAACATTTTAAGGAAAGCCTTTTAGGAAAAATACATCTTATAATACCACGTACTGTTCTGGGATAACTGAAACAAAACGTAATCAGCTACCAATAACCAGAATACAAGAATGCAAGGGATGATCCAGAAATACCCGTAATTTAAACAATAAATTCAATAATATTTATTCAAAGTTCATATAACAAACACTTTATTACTGCGTAATATATCCTCTTTACAAGGAAACAAGAATATGATAATTAAACACAGTATGCCTACCATATAAGCAAACTTAGGATTTGTCACATTATGCAAAAAAGGTTGATGTTCTATTGTTCTTATACATAGGGAATCCTCCCGATGCCATTCTCTGTAAGTGTACTAACAACCTAAACCTATGACTATTGAACTGCTAATTGCTTTGATTGCTGTGATTCATACACATGATCATCTTAAAGTTGAAGGCATGAAATATATGATTCATTTAATTTAATTAGATAAAAAGTGCATGTAAAAGAAAACAAATAAAGTATGAAAAACAGCACATAATCGTCAATTAGAATTCATTTTTTAAAATCGCATTGAAATTGTGCAAGGCCGCATATGACAGCATATTTGTATTTTTCAATCGCCACAGCGACAGAAAACGTTAACTTCACGCGTATTCTTCTATGCCGCAAACGATATGTATTTATCTTTAAAATTACTCCAACAGTCTGGTAAAAAAACTTCTTTACCACTCAAAAAGTTTAGTGTGCATGACTAACAAAATACTTGTGTCGAATTTCTTTTATCATATTAGATGTTTCTATGGTAGGCTGTCTAAACAGTTGACAAATGTTTATGAAAGTGCCGTTTTCCGACGCCTTAATGAAGACGTTTTTGCATAAATAAACGTTGCAATTACAAATGATTACACAATAATACAATGTTCAAACGACGTGAAATTTTAGCAGGCTTTACATTAACCTTCGGCAAATATTGGACATGATCCCTTTTTGTGTCGGGCACTTTGGTGTATTATAAATTTCAACGAGTTGCGCTGCTGTGGCGTATCCATGGTTATTTAGGGCGGCCTGAGATTGTACTGGATGTTTATAATCAATTATATTTGGCAATTAAATAGAAGAAACATTGATCTTTGCGCATTTATAAATTTAATGAAGAAAACATAAAAAGTTATCAGAATTATAAACAAATTTTGGGTAATTCTGGATCAACCTCCATATAATGTAAAAAACAGATTTTATAAACCTTACAATATCAGTTATTGTTTTTTTTTTCAAGATGAACTCCTGTCGGATTTGTTAACGGCTGTTTGATGATCATACAAAGACAGTTAAAGGCAACGAAAAGGAATGCAAGGGAATAAATGCTGCCAGTGAGAAATAAAATGACAGTTTAAAAGTTGAATCGGAATAATATATTCACATTGAGTGTAGAAAGATGTACTGTAACCCACATTACACTAAAAGAGACACTAAGACAGAAAAAGAAAACACTGATGCCACCATTGAGATCAATGACTGATAAGTTTTCATACAAAAAAGATTGTTTATATTGTGGTCAATCTTTAATAAGTAAGGGTAAAACAAGGAAGTGTGATGTTTCGCCAGTAAGGACACTAGAACCTACTGTTTTGAATATATGTATACAGAGGAATGACTGTTTGTCTGATACAGTGAGAGCAAGGATAGAACAGGTTCACAACTTGCTTGTAGCCGATGCTCTTTACCATCAAACATGTTTATGCTCCTCTAATTTCAGAACTGGAAAAGATATACCAGAAGAATTTCAGGTGCTACCATCTAGTGATAAAAAGTGAAAGATTGGTCGACCAGAAATTACAGAAGCGAGTGACGCTTTGTAAAAGTTATGACATTCTTGTGCTTATGCTTAGCGAAGATATTTTACAAATTAAAATTTGCAAATATTTTTTTTTTACATTTTATGCTCAAATGTATCAAATATTTGAAATTGACCTTCCAAAGGTCAATGTCACCTCTTTTGACCCAATGTCATGATGTTATATAATGACTCAGAAAAAAATACAACAGATGTGCTTGAAAGTATTCAAGTTAATATAAAACTCAATATTATTAATTTATTATCATAGATAATATAGATTTCCTTAATGTTTCTTTATTTTGTATAAAATTACCCCACCCACTAGCTGTACAATGTTAATATAAATATTTCAATATATGCATTAAATATTGATGGAATGTAAATTAAATTCATAAAACGTTGAAACTTGACAGTTTTCACATGTACGTAAACCATTATGTATTTTCTGTTTAATATCATATAACATAGAGCTTTCAATAAATTGTTGATCTACAGCAATGTAAAAATATAATATTACCCCACCCACTTAAGTTAATTAATAAATTTTAGACAGGTAAAAGTAGTTTCTTTAAACAAAACAACTTTTTGATTACTTTATGTTACTATAGGGATAGATTAAGCTATATTTTTATGCATAATATATATAAAACTGATTGGAAAATTGTATGTGTGTATCACATTGAGTTCAAATTAAAAAAATAAATACAATGATACCCATATATTTGATCTCAATTTCTGAAAACATTCTCCAATTTAGATTTTTCTAGACTTTTGATATGTTATACAATATAGGTCTGGGGTTTCAAAACACTCAAAATATTTTCTGTTGCAATTTGTTTGAGGTTTGGCTCTATTTTGAGCTAGAATGACTGGACTATATGATTTTTACTGTAAACAGTTTCTTTGTTGGATATATCATATATGGACAGTGATAAATAGAATATTATATTACTAAACTCATTTATTGAACTCTTTGAAGGAGGCTAGAGGCTAGCATAACATACTATAATTTTATTCAACTTTTTCAATAACATCCTCGGTAACTCAGGCTATTTACCGTATACATGTACTAAATGTAGTATATATGGAATGTGTACCGTTGGTTCTGACGATGATTCAATAAATACAGTATTGCACTCTTTCAATACCCTAGATATGTATCTAAATGTGTCATTAGATGATAATAAAACAGGTTTACCTGGGTTTATAAGATTGGAATGTTTAAACTCTACTACTGGACTAGCAAAGGCATCCTGAAATACAGTGAAATATCTAACAATAACATAATTACTGTGTCAAAAATTCCAGGTGATTTTGTTCCAAAAATAGCATAAAATGTAAATTCTCCCTTGAAACTATTCCCATATCAAACAGATAGGGCAATCAAGTGCATTTTTGCATGATATAAGCACAGCATCAATAACGAATGCTTACATGTCATAAGACGTCATAATTATGATGTCAATAACCAATTGACGTCAGGAAAATGTACACTCAATGTAGTTCAATATATTTTTTATCAATTCCCTTTTATATGGAAATAAATATTAATTTTTCTTACAGTATAGAACAATAGTGCAAGGTTTACCGTTCAAATGCTTTGTAAATAATCACTCAGGCCTATAGTGGTGATATTCCTGAGCATTTGAACTCAAACGGTGTGTTATGATAATTCTATTACAATGCACCCAATATCTATTTCCTTAACTACATGTACAATAACAAATCTTATGCAGCTTTCTTTTTAAAAAAAATTAATATATGACAGGGCTTTTTGTCACAGGTTGGGGAAGCAGCCCTGTTCTCAATTTTTGGGGGAAATTACACGATATATTTGCAAAAGAAAAAACTTGATGTAAATTCAATTTTTAAATGCATGATTTTTAAAGAATTTTTTTTCTTTGGGGAAGCAGCCCTATACCGGTCCCTGGTATAGAAGGAAAAAAGTCCTGTATGAATAAATCAAATTATATAAATAAATAAAAATATTTGTTTGTTTGTTTCCTTTTACCTCTTTTCCCAACAGTATTTCAGTCATATAGGCGGGTAGTTTCCTAACCACCGTTCCTGGAGAGTTACACCAGTACTAGACTACCTTCCTCCATGCTAAAGTACCAAAGCATCTCCCAGGGATCGAACCTATGCCAGAGAGGTAACTGGATAAGAAGTCATCGACTCTAACCCCCCGACCACAAAAATATTTTTTGAAACAAAGTGTAATATGGTTTGGTTTCTTTTGGAGAAATAGCAATTTGACAGTACTAAATATATTCATCATTATGATATCGTGGATGATGTGACATACATCCAATTATAACAGTCAGTGTAAATTGCATTCGAGTTGAGTTCTCAATAAAACTCTGCAAGGAGTAATTATGTAGTACTCAAAATAATAAAATTTTATTTTCATATTACTTCAACTTTTTTTTTATAATTCAATTTGATATAGAGATTAATCATTGTCTTTTTTTTCAAAAGTTTTGTGTAAAAAGAATGATTAAAAGTTCATACTTTATGAATCTTGTTCATCCAAGCCATCTGAGGGGGCACCTTATCTGCAACTCTCACCTGTAATTTAAAATGTGATATCCAACTTCAAAATTTGATTTCTATTTTGTTGCAATACATATATATATATATATATATACCCATTAACCTTCTGAAAACCTATTTGCTTAGCCTTTCCAAACAATTATAAGGTGTAATGGTTTGACAGTAGAGAAAAACAGTTAGTTAAATGGGTCAAACAATTCATGATTTATAAATGAGGCAAAAGCCAGCCCAATCGCAACTTTTCAACCCTTTCCATCAGTCTTCGGATAAGGACCTCAAACACAATAGTATGAATATGTATACAGAATGGATGCAGTATTTCGGTCTAACCTACGCTAAGAAACTAAACTTGTAAACAAATAGTAATTTAATGCTGGGAGTTGTTGACAAGTTTATTTACAATATATGTAGTATAAGTCAACCTAAAAAAAGTGAATTCATAGGTAAAAAATCAAACAATACATTATTTTAATATTTATTATTATGGTTGTAGAAACCGAAAGTACAAAAAACCAAACTGTTGACATTTAGTCAGTTTTATTTACATCAGTGGGCATATTTAAATTACAAATTGTTGTCAGACATATTTAGGCCTACATAATCTGAAAATCTTGAACTAAGTAAGAAAACATTTTTACCTTGCTTGCTAAATTATTAGAAACCAAATAGTGAACTAAATTCCTGCCAATGAATCCTGTCCCTGCAACAAAAGAATCATCACGATAATTCCTGCCAGTTTTAATCAGCAACGATAGTTAACTAGCAATAATTAGATGTAGATTACTACAAAACTGACATAATTAGAGAGTGTAAACTATTAGAAGAGTCCGTATCACTATGCCTTCCAATTTTAGCTAAATTTGCTCCTATCCGAAAACTGGTCAGTTACAAATAAAATCAACGTTTAAATACCACCATGTCAGACTATAAAACTAAAACTTCACACACTTATCAAGAGTATTTTGTTTTTATAGAAATTCTAATATAATTTTAATGTCATTTCACTTTAAGGCATTCACAAACCTCCGAGTATCAAAACTCGACTATTTTCTGTGTTGGCCGCCATCTTTATCGTTGTAAGAACGAACAACACTAAATAATGGGTCTCCCTAATTACCGACAAGAACCGTTAAAGGTAATACAATTACTTCTCGGACCTTACTTTTAAAAAGGGCAATAACCTTTAATAACAAGAAATAACAAACACCACACATAGTTCATCTTTAGTATTAGGCAAATGCATGTCTAGCTGTACACAATTTATACAAATAATTGTATTAATTAAATACTCAAATAAATATTTTATGTTAATGTATGTAATTTAACATAATTATAGAGAAAACCCGCCAATCTTAGAAAATTCAATAATAACTTTGCATAAGCTTTAAGAACAAAGCAGGAAACAAAGCATCTTAAATACAAAGAGACATTCATGCAAAATAAATCATACATTTCATGCATATACTGACACAAAACAAAGCATATAAACACATATCCATACATGTGAATTCTCTTACTTCAGACTGATGACTCTTAATTAGCAAAATAAGAAGACAACTGCTTCTAATCAATTCTTTAAACAAAATCAATTTAACTCAAACACTCCCTCAATAAAATACATTCTCCAACTGTGTGTAAGAAAGATTCACATATATGTGCATTTCAAATTACAAATAATGAAACAAAACTCTTAACTATACACATACAAAAAAGGCTAATATACAAGCAAACAAGCAATAAACTCAAATCAAAATTCTAATTTGCAAATCAACATACATAATGGGTTGGGTGGGAGGGTTTTCTTAAACTTTTACAGCTAGACAACAAAGGCTCGAATGACTAGAAGTACAAAAAATTGGCGCGACAATCTAAAAATAAACGACCAATCAGAAAACAGTTCACCAAAGTCACGGTTTACTCGAAATTTAATTAGTTATTTTAGATCTAAAAATATATCAATTACTTCTCGGACCTTACTTTTAAAAAGGGCAATAACCTTTAATAACAAGAAATAACAAACACCACACATAGTTCATCTTTAGTATTAGGCAAATGCATGTCTAGCTGTACACAATTTATACAAATAATTGTATTAATTAAATACTCAAATAAATATTTTATGTTAATGTATGTAATTTAACATAATTATAGAAAAAAACCCGCCAACTCAAGGCCAAAATAAAGCAAAACAAAAGGCTAAACAATAAACAATTATTACATTTACAACACAATACAAATAGATTTACCTGTAATAAGTGTACTAAGAAGTGCCACAAGTATCTTTGATCAACAATCAGACACCTAATAATTTAAGAAGTTAACATTGAAAATTACGTAATATAATTTATACATTTTTTTTCAAATTTTTTACTTAAGTCCATATTCAAAAAGAAATAAAATAAAATGAGTATCCAACATACTGAAATAGTATAAATCTAGTACATGAAATTCAATTCATTTTAGTCCTAATATCAATAAGAAGTACAATGTAACTGTACATCAAATATTGCAATCAACTCCTTTGAAATAAAAACATGGCCATTAAAGATTAGAAATAACCCGTAGAAAAAAATTGTGCAAACGAGCACAACCTTCAGAGTTTAGATGTAAACCTCCATCCAGACGAGCAAATAAATGTCGTTTAATCTGACCTTTAAAACAAAAAGGCCTGTATGATTTAAGAAAATGAAAATTTAAATCCTTGGCCATGTTTTTCTCCAAATAAGCATTTAATTCGAAAATAATGGACCTAGAAGAATCATCATCCACTGGACGAGGAAGTACAGATGAAATAATAATACGAATCCCAGGGCACGAGCACGTAAATAATTAACAAGATCTGCAAATTGCGCTACACATAATAAAGGCAACACTGTGACCTTTAGCAACATTATTAGTACCAAACATGTACTATTATAAAACTGAATGCAGATAAATTAATTGTAGACAATTGATGTTGTAACCTTGTAATTGTAGTCCCTGGGAAGGCACTCAACTGCACTCCCTCTATCAATGGCAGATGCTTTACAATTGAATCTCCTACAATGATACCACAGCGAATTTCTGAAAATACATATAATAAAATTAAATATACATGTACAAAGGTATGAAACATAATATACCAATATAAAAAGTAACATGAAATCCTTTTATACTACTATTTACAGAATTATCATCTATGTAACTGATGACAAACACAACTATATAACAATTTAATGATTTAACACCCTTGTTTAAGAAGAATGTAATAATCACTTAATTAAAGATCATACAGTACAAGAATTTCTATTGGTAACTTCACAGGACATTGAAAACCATATCTTACCCAGTGAGTCCTAACCATCCACTGAAGTAAAACTCCTTCCCATGTAAGGCGAAGGATAGAAGTTAACCAACAACAAAAAATTTAAATACTTACTTAATCTATTCCTTTTCTAAATTCTTAGAAATTAATTTTGATACTGTTATTTTTATCTTCAAAGGAATATTGTAAATATTCTTTATATGCATCTGAACGCCAATCCCCCATGAGCTGTATAAGATCTGAAGAAAGACCTGACCTAAAAGCAAAGGTAGCCATACCTCTTTCTAAAGGAATGAGTTGAATAATTATCTGGATTTAAAACCAATTTTGAGAAATTTTCTTTTTTATAACAGTTTGGAAATTTAGAATAAAAAAACTGGCTTTCCAGATTTCAACAGAAAAAGGGGTGAGTCTGTATCTCTAGGAATAAGACGCAACATATCATTATAAGCTTTCACTGGACACAAAACAGAATTTTCTATCTTCACTAATGGAATCAATAAAACTCTTTCACCATATTGAATTGTTTTAGACCACTTGAATTTAACCAACAAACCAAAAATCTGTCAATGAAACATCTTTTTGATAGCAAAAATTTTGGATTAACCATATCTTTTTGAATTGTGGGCACTAAATTTGACTTTCTAGCTAGAAGAAAAAAGGAAAACAAAAAACAAAACACCAGAAAAACCACATCTTTACAATTAGACAAATCAAACACATCAAAAAGTTTTAATAACAAATCAGGGGTAATAGGTTCAGCCTTTTTTAACAAGGTGCAATTTTCTCTTTAGCCAAACCTTTCAAAGATAAATTTATTAAAAAAATTGTTAATATGATCTGTACCATAACCTAAAATTGAATGAAAGGTTTTAACACCACTAATATAATTTCTAATTGACTCTACTGATTTGAAACTCCTTCCCCCAAAAATTGAGTATATAATTGCAATGTCTTTGTAGAAGCAGGTAAATACCGCAAACTAAAGTAGAGACAAAACAAAAGAAAGGATTCTACTTGAATTCGTAGATTTCTTCTAGAACCTTCAGCATATGCTTTTCTATTTGTAGAACCAAGCTCATATTCCAACTGCTTAAACTGATCCACTGTAACATAAAATATACATGTATATATTTAAAATTTAGCTTATATACATATGTATAAAATTACCAAGAATTCCAAAATCTAAAATCCTCATCTTGTACCTTATACTGCAGCAATTTTCTAAACTTTCTGTCAAAGCATAGAATTTTTCTCTAAACATTTTATCACTATCCCACCTAGATAGATAATCAGCTAATCTGTTCTCTTCAGAAAACAAATGTTCTGCTCTCAATTCGAATTCATTTGAAGCCGCAATAAAACAGATTTCTCTTAAACAATCCTGCAAGAAAGGACACCTCGCCCTACCAGAATTTAATGCTATACAAACTGACATATTATCACATAAAACTTTGATTCTCATATTCTTAAAATGTTTACCCATAAATGTAAACACACTACCAGGGTAAGCATCTCTAATGCTCCAATATGCAATTTTTGACTTAAAATGAACTGAGGAAATTTAGAATGAAATATATGCCATTCCAAAAAACCTCCACAACCACTAAGACAACTATCCGCACTAAAAATTTCATCAGCATCACTCCAATTACCTAATGACATCAAAGAAACACCATTATATAATGGTAAAAAAAGAATTCCACCATGCAAGATCTTTTTTAACTTGTGACGGAATTTCAAAACCAAGCAATTGTAGATTTTATCTGTATACAAATCACGTAACCATTTAATATTCTTGACACCATAACTCGACTTTGTCTAAACACATGAACCAATGAATTGTAAAATTTTCCTAACAAAAGAACTGAACTTCTTTAAAGTGGCATACTTTTTATCTAACCACAACTTGATCAAGTCCCTAATTTCAACCAGCCTTTCATCAGTAACTCCCAATAGTAAGATCATTTACTATTAAATAATATCCCTAAAAAAAGTCATTAATTTGAGAAGGAGGATTACTTTTCTTTATTGATTCTTCAATTCCACATTTCTGCAATAAAACCGCTAGAGTATTATATGCAAACCAAGCATCTTTGGAATTTTCAGCGCCTGCCAGATCATCTAGATAATTTAAAATAGGTATTCCCATCCTAAACATCATATATGCAATTGCATTAGTCACTCTTTAAACTTTACAGCTAGACAACAAAGGCTCGAATGACTAGAAGTACAAAATTGGCGCGACAATCTAAAAATAAACGACCAATCAGAAAACAGTTCACCAAAGTCACGGTTTACTCGAAATAATTAGTTATTTTAGATCTAAAATATATCAATAGGGGTACCACTAAAATACGCAACGGAGATTTTTTGGCGCAACGGACGCAACGGGCGCAGCGGAGATATTTTTTTAGAAAAACCGGCACAACGCCTTTTTTAAAAGTCAATGTGCTATATTTAAGCATCTAAAATGATTGTTTAGCACTATTTAGTAAGTATGTTTTAAAATGTTTCATAAATTGTATATGTTTAATTGCACTGAAGGGTTATATGCCTGGCGAAATGGAAACTGTTATGATAATCCCCGTTGCGCCGAAATGTGTCCATTTCGCCGTAATTTAAATATCTATTACAATATCCCTTTTTCAACATTTTCTAAAATAAAGGAAAGTAAATCATTTTTAAAAGACTGTTACTTATTATTCTCAAATTCTTAAGTTATGTTCAAACATAAGATATACCTGTTATGTAAGTCTTTATTTTCCGTTGCGCCGAAATTATGTC